CAAACAGATGAAGGAATTATTTATATATTTTTTTTATTTTTGAGTTTGTAAGAAAAACTGTCCAGTAATTGGATGAAAATAACGAACTTATAAGAACTAATTATAGAATGAACTGTTTTATTTACTACCAAATATTGCTTTGAATTTTGGTTAGCATATTAAGCATTTCTTGTTTTAATGAAAAGTAAGTTAAAATTCACGTCACTTAATGCGACGACACGTCAGTCCTGAAAAGGACTAAGAATATATTGTAAAAAATGTATATGGGCGAACTTAGTTGACGCAACTGACAACTTCTATTGAAATAGTTTCTCAAGAGTAGGGAAAGCCGTTCGTAAATAATCCCATGCTTTGGGTCAACTCAATGGCCAATAATAGCAGGAGCAAGAGGAAAACCACGCCTGCCCTGAGCCAGGATCATTGTCCCGACGGTTGGTTTTCTAATTGTTAGCATTGTACTTTGCCAAACTGGACACCGCGACGCTCCAGGTGCTCGCGATATTCCTTATAGTGCATCTGGATCTCCTGTGACCGATAGCGCGTCAGCTTAATGGACTTGCGCAGGTCCTGAGTAATAACTGCCCGATAGCCACCCTTGCGCAATAGCGAGTCAATGGTTTGTAGTTGATCCCACCCTTGCTCTGTGGCCACTTGCGGTAGGTAGGTGGCTGTGCGCTTTAGGCCGCGCTCGGTGAAAAACTCAATCCGAATACCATGGACACCCAATTGCCAATCGAGATGACCCTGAGCCTCCTCAAAGTTTTGCAAGATGGAAACAGACACCGTCAGCCGGGGCAGCTCATCGCGCGAGATGGGTGCGAAGCGTGAATCCTTAAATGCACTGGTCAGTGCATATTCACGAAGTCCATTGTGCAGCTCCATGGCGCTAAAGGTGCCAATACAACCTCGCAATCGCTTGTCCCGTCCGATTTTCCATGTCACAAACAACGGATAGGCATCATTGCTAAACATCGGAACAGCTGGGCCCTCAATATTATTGAGCTCACAGTCAAGTACCTCGAAGCAGTAGAGACACATGTCCGGTACAGCGACGGTGTCCAGTGGCTTTATCCGCATGCCATGACCATTCATATAGTGCTGCGAGTAGTGTACCGGCTGCTGCTGCTGATACTCCTCATGCCTATCGTCCCCATTGCTATTGGAGTGTTGCGGCTGTTGCTGCTGGTAGTTGTTGTGGTGTTGCTGGTGGTTGTTGTAGTGGGAGTTGGACATTTTAGCTGCTGCTGTTGCTGCGACGTTTAAGTTTAAATCTACCAATTATGTTATTTTTCTATATATATATTTTTATAGTTAATGGCAGTGCACGTTGATGATCAAGGTTCAATTAACACAAGAGAACAACGAAAAGAAGTCTAAAGGATCTTTTGTCTAGCATGTAAATCAAACGCCAGCCAAGCGTATCACATCCAGCTAATGCTGAAATATATTATGGCATGGATAAATATTACCTACTTTGGATTGCAACATACTTACCTTGGCAATAAAGTCACTGGCCACCTTAGTTTTGTAACTCTTATTCGTTAGCTATTTGCACCCGCGCGCTGACACAGCTCGTTCTTTTTTCTTCTACAGGATGATGCTCGCATTTAATAGCCCGCACTTTTGTCGTTGTTGTCCTTGTAGTGTCTGCTGATGTTGCTGTTCCTTGTCCTGTTCCACTGCAGATTGCTTCCAGACATTTGCTCTTGCCCCCTGCTGCTGCTCGGCTGCCGATTTGAATGCTACAAAGCCATAGCTCATAAACAAAACATCGAATTGCTGCTGCTTGTGCTTCACCTCCCTATTTCAATTGAAAGTGCGTCAGTGAGCGCCGTCGTTTTCTTTTTTTTCTGTGGGTGTAAAATTATTTTCATTATATATTTTTAACGCGCGAATGCAATCTTCACCTTCGCGCAATTGCCTAATGCAATCTCATTGCGTTATCTGTTTGAAAGACAGAAGAGAGAGAAAGTAGTGAAACCCTTGTTTTTCAATTTGTTTCATTTTTACTATCTTTTTAATTGCTCTTTGTTCCCACTTCATTTGCATTTTGCCACACACTCGTAGCACTTTCAGAAGACCAGATAGTTACACAAGATCCGTAGCCTTTTATTTAAGCAATTTACACCAATTGTTGGCATTTGTTCCAAAATTTTAAAACTGCATTTACCTTGTGCGGAGATCCAATTTAATGTAAACAAATTTAACAATTTTTTACGATTTTAGGAACAGTGTTGCCCAATGCCCGAAGCTGACCCAAAAAGGAATTAAAAAAAATACTAACAATATGCAATGTTTTCAACAATCCGTGTGTAAATAAATTAAAAACTATTTTGTAGCAACTGTAACAAACATTTTTATAATGCTCGTTAACATTGTTTCCTAACGTTATATGCGTATTTATATTGTACACATTAAATAACTTCCAGCAAGTGAAATCACATTGGTACTAAAAATGACAGCAAATTGTAGCATATAAACACATTTCCATACTTGCAGTAACAGTAGTCAGCTACAGCTGATTGTGATTCATTTAAATTTAAAAATATAATAAATAAAATAATTATTAATTAGGGTCAGTAAGTAACTACTAGCATAGTCTATTAATTACTTTTATTTTTTAAATTATTGGAGTTGAAAAAAACTTCACAAAAGTTTATTTATATTTAATAAACTTTATTTAAGAAAAACTCAATCAAATTTATGCGTCATAGGCCTCACAAAATAAGAATTAACAATTTAGTAACCATTTATAAACATTTGTCAATTGTATTGCTAGTGGTATTTTTAGTATTTAATATTTAGATATTTTTGCGCTAACAAAGACCGTTTTATTTTTCAGTGTGTATCCCCAGCCCTGTTGTAAACCAAACAATAATATAAAAACACTAGCAAGAATTTTTTGCATAGAAATGGCGTTAGCAAATGTACTTTTGCTTAGTCAAATAGCTGGACATGTTCTGCTATTTATATTATCCTTATGCATTGTTCTGCCGCTATCAATAAACCTCAATCAGTTTTGGTATGTATTCAACGACGCAGTTTTTCAGAAAGAATAAATAATGTGAATACACAACCATTCGCCAATCCAGTGGACACTGCTTGCTCTTTACAACGGGTAAATGGCGAGAGGAGGATGGTATGTTCGATGTTCATTGGGCTTCCGACGGATTCTGCAATTTTCCCATAATCACTGGAGTCTTTCTCTTCATCATCTCTGTCGTACAAATCTACCGGTGAGCATAGACAATACAGCATTGTGTCTGATTGTGTAAATTAAAATTCTGTGGCCTATTTCAGATATGTTCGAATGAAGGAGGAGGAGTCCTTCATTGCCCTTTTTATTGACGTTGTGCTTGGCATTTGGATGCTGGCTATGTCCATATTGTCCGCAATTTTCATAACGTTGGGTTTCATTGTCTGGTGTGATGGAATGACCGAACGATTTCCATCGTGCGAAACATCGGCTGGACAAAACATTATCAGAGGCGACACCGAAAAGATTAATACATCAGGATTCTACATTGAAATGGGTACCACTCAGGTGAGTTTTTTATTGTGGACCTGTTATAGTAAATAATACAATAAATATGATTTGTATTCCTTTAAAGTTTGGCGCTTGGGGAGCTTTTGCCATTTCAGTGGGTATTGGAGTCATCGCGTTGCTAAAACTTATACATAATCATCAGGTCCGAAATATAAAGGTGTCCATGTATTTAGAACGTCAACGCTTGGTTAATCAACAGAATTTCGATGGACGCTCAACGCCCCCTCTTCAATCGGGTGCTTCGTCTGATACCGACAACAATAAATAGTTGATATTTTCGTCGAGTCAACAATTTGTTATTCTTTATGTTTTTCTCATGATATGTACGATAATTATTTTATGCCATTTGATTGTGGTACTCATTATTACGATTGAGACGCGGCAGCAGGCATTCATAATGTAGTACAGTTTATCTAAGTGTATATTGTTATCTTATTAAAATATGTATGTATTAAGCATTACCTTATAATCGGTAATTAAAAATTATAGTTTTTAAGTAATATATATATGTATACCAACCACAATTTTCTTTAATAAATAAAAGATTATTTCTGATTGGAATCTTAAGTAGGAATTTCATTAAATTTTTGCACTTCTAGTAGAATCGTTTGTATAGATTATTTGGGACATTCTTTGACAAGTTAATGTAGTAAACACAAAAATTGATTGAATATTATTTAAAAATACTTACTGAAATAGGGTAAAATTTTCTTATTCGTGCGTGCGTGCGCATGCGTGTGCGGCAAGATTTCGCCAATTCTGTTGGATAAGGTAAGTAGCACAGCAAAATGTAACAACCGACAAAAGTAGCAAGTAGTTCCTCCAAGTATTTCCCCCATCATTTCCTCTAAGCTTTTAATGCTTAGCTAAGCGCTCATTGACGACACTTTACTTTACTGCACTGCACGACTGGTCCCGACTGCGCCTGGGCGACTGAAGAAATGCTGCAGCTACTGCCCTTTATGTAGGGCGACTTTCACTCACACATTGACTCGCTCTCAAATGTTGACCCAGCATCGGTAGTCTTTGTTGCAGCCGAGTTTTAAGTGACCAATGGGAGCACTCTCTCCCAAGCTAGAATGCTTGCTTCGTTTTACTCAAATATAAACTCTGCTGTCATTTTTAGTAGTGGAGCGTTCACGAAGTAGATAGAGAGTGAGTATACATTTTTGTTTTTGTTTTTTTTTTTTTTCAATGTCTAATAAATTTAGCTTTGCCAGAGATTTGGTACGATTGCAAAGAGACTCTCTCCATCGTATTGATTCTAATTATAGAATATTACATTGCTTTTCTCAGTTATAAACTTTGCAGACTCTTTCTTGAGAGTTGGTCGAACTGTTTTTGGATTATTAACGAATAATGCACAGCTGCTTCAGTATTATAATACTTACATACTTGAGCCCCAATTAAATAAAAACAAATTGTTGGAATTCTGTTATGTCAATTACATTTATTTTGCAGTTATTTCCTTTTCATATCTGTTTTTTTTTATGCTTCACGAATTTTTCGTTCTGTCAAACGGATTTTGGATTTGGATATTCGCTATTTTTTTTTTTTTTTTTTTTTTTTTTTTTTGCATTACAACAAAATGATCATTATAGACTTTAAAGCGATTCCCATTGTACATTATAAATTCCGTATTTGCATGCGTAGTCTGTTTAACAATTTCCGCAACGATTTCCATTTTGAATTTGGGTTGACAAATTTTGCTTTTATCATTTGTTTTGTTTTAATTCTTCTGTTTTTTTGTTTCAGTTTTTTTTAATATACATAACATACTTATTTCATTCAATTATATCCTCTGCCTGCAAAAAGATTAATTTAATATGGAGCAAAAAGTGTTGCAGTTTACTTTGGTTTTTAGAGAAAAATAGTTACTTGTACATTTATGTATGGATTTTGTTCTGTTTTGTTATCTTGAGTTCATGAAACAATTTTATAGTTGGCTCTCAAATGTTGTTATTGGATTTATAATTTTGCTTTTGTTTTATTTATTTATTTCTTTTATTTTTTTTGTTTTTTTGTTTTTTTTTTTTTGTTGTGGTTTTTGCTTAATATTAACACTACATCAATGTATGTACTATAATTAGTATTTTTAGTTGTATGTTTTTGTTGTTTTTTTTTTTTTTAATTTTAAATTTTTTTTGGGTTTTTTGTGTGTATTTTTTGTTGGTAATTATGTTTTGGATTTCTTTGAATAGCATATTATATTAATTCATTTTTGTTTTTTTTTTTTTTTTTTTACTTACACTAAGTTTTTCAATACATAATAAAAGAAACATAACTAAAATGTTGGAAAAAAACTTTGTGTGGTTTTGTTGCAGTATATTTGTGTTATAAATTAGGCAAGAAATCAAATCACCTGCGAGCTGCAATTTTTGTGCCAGTGGCTAATCGATTCGAGCTCGAATCAGTTTGTTTCGAACTCGAATAAGTTTGGCGAAAGGCCACACGTCGCGCTTCGCAGTGGTCTATGCAATATGGGAGAGGTTAAGTCGGATTTTTCATCATAGCCAAATAATAGTAATTTAATTTTAAAAGAAAATTACTCTTTCCATTTTTGTAATATTATATTAATTTTTTTTTTTTTTTTTTGACTTACATAGATTATATTTTTTTTTTTTTTTTTTTTTTTGACGCGCATTCATTTTTTTTGTTTTGTTCCATTGCATAGACGACTGTCCCGGCGCCAAACGTGTGCGATCGCTAGGAAATTCACGGAAATCGGGTGTGGTCTGATTAACCCCAAGCACCGAGCCCCTTAACTGCAACAGGTCGAGGTGGTTTGCTGAACGCAAAAGTCGTGTGATGTCTCTTTAGAAGTCGGCATGAACAAAATGTTTGGGTGAGTGTTTATATTTGGATTTTGGATTTGCTGGGCGACTGTTATGCGATTTCCGTGTTAGCATAACAGTAAATGAGTTAAAAACGGTCTGCTTTTGTGTCTGCTGTACGTGTGTGTGGGTGTGCGTGTATGCTTGTGTGTGTTGGAAAAGGCGACTGGAAATACTCTGCAAGGAGTTCCTTCTCATTGGAACCGGTTATTCCCACTTCCAGTCGCCTTCACGTGTATCGTGTGTGGGGATGGGAAGCTTGTGCATGCGAATAACCGCGAGTGCAGACCATGCACATGCGCCCCATCCCCAGCAGGGATAACGGTATTACAGCAAGTTTTCTCAGTGTGTCTTGTGTTTAACAAAAACATTTAATGTAAAAATAGTTAAAAAGTTTTCAAAAATTGTTTTTTATAAGCGTTTTGAAGTTGAAATTGTAGTGTCTCCGGTTCTTTTCTTTTCCTCATCTACCTTCCTTTTCATTTCTATATCTTGTTTTTGTTTTTCCATTTTTCTGTAAGTGGGTTCAACATCCAAAAATGTTCAAATGCATGTGAAATACTTACGTGCCCCAAAAACTGACTAACTGACCGACTGGCCGACCACCAAAGGCGGACAATCGGACAGAAATACTTTGTAATCAGGCACATTGTTTTTTTTTTGTTTGTTTTGTTTTTGTTTTTCTGTAAGAAAATGCATTCGTTTACTTTGAATAATATTTGCACAACAGTGGAGAAAATTCATACCAATTGCACAATCCAGATTTTTGTTTAGCTCATTCATAATTTTCATGCATCTTATCGTACGCACATCCGTATGCACATACATACATACACATGCACCTGTTATATACATATGCATGTATGTGTATGTGTCGGTGCACTCGAATTTGTAGTACAAAATTTCTATCGCTAGTTCCGTTTGGCCTAACGATCTTTTGATTTTCATATGCGAATTGTTGCGTCCCTAATAGTTTATATGTCTATACATACTATGCAATTTGCAGCGATTTTGTTGAAAACAAAAGCTTCGTAAGAATTTTCTCGCATCTGTCGTAGCATTTATGTTTAAGCTTTTTGTGTGTGTTTTTTTTTCTTTTTCGTTTTTTTTTTTTTTTTTTTTTTTTTTTTTTTTTGTTACTTTTCCGTGTAGGTTGCGCTAGAACGCTGGGCAGCACTGTTCCGCCATCTGGCGGTCATTGCTGCCGTTGCCAAATTCGTTAATTTTTGTTCTTTTGTTTTGTCACGATTCATTATTTTCTTTTCGTCAGTTGATACCAACAAACAATTATTTAACAATTCAATTTTGTACTATTTTATATGTTGCTATGCTCTTTGCGCTGGTTTTGTTTTTGGTTTTCTTTAGCTTCTTCTTCTTCTTGCTTATTAATGGTATCACTAATCTGTCGTTGATTTCTTTTATACACACTTAGGAACGAAACGGTAAGGAACATAATTGAACTTGAATTTCTTTTCTTACAACATTTGCCAGACTATTGCTGTGTGTGAGTAAGTGAGTGTGTGTGTGAGTGTTTGTGTGTGTGTGTGTGTATGGAATAATTATTTGAATATATCATGCACACATACTTCCAATACACACTATGCATGTCCTGTGCGTACACATACATACATACATACACACATACGATGCTGAGTAGTTGATGCGTAAATCTGATGCTTGCAGTTGCGCCCAGCTGCTGTTATAGTATTAGTAATAGTTGTTGTTCTTGTTCATGTTGCTGTAGTTATAGCATTAAATAGTATTTAATAGTTGTAGTTGTTTGTTTGTTTGTTTGTTTTTCATTCTTTCTTTTGTTTTTTGGAAATTTATTTTGTTATATTTAGTTACAGTGTTGGCCGCGCTGCTCGTCAGTTACTTTCGCGAGCCACTGTTCGAGTTTCGAGCTGTTTGAGTTTAACGTACTTATTGCAGACGATCGATGATATAGTATGACTATGACATAGACACCATCTCTATACACATATACATATATAGGAATAGAAATACACATACATACATATACATATAGTAAAAGAGTTAATTTTGATTAAAGTTGTTTGGCTTTTTCTTTTGATTTGTTTCATTCGCTTTCATTTTAGTTCAATCTGTTGCTATGGCAATCGACAATGAGATTGTGGCTGCTGTGTGGTTGTGCGGTGGTGTAGTGGTGTGGTTGTGTGACTGTGTGGATGTGGTAAACACTGCAATGAGCACGTTAAATCAGACGCTCGCTATACCATATTCAGAAGTCCGTATTATTTGGGCCCGCATCTGCCTCGGCGGCATCGCCCACCTCACCCACGCTCGGTGGCAGCGCCAGCGACAGGTGTGGAGTTGCTGAGCCGGCGACGAGCATGGTTGGCTCCGTGTTGCGTCGCTTCATTTTAAGTTTATTCTTTTTTAACATGGTGGCCTAAGTAGGTGAGGCATGATTCACAAATCGATTAATCAAGTTGAAGAGGTTAAATTGAAATATTGAAATTTTTTGGCGTCCGGTGCATAAATTGATTAAATTGATTAAGAGCAGATTAAATGTATRTTGTTGTTGTAGTAGTAGTTGTTGGTGTCATAGATGTTATACATTCAATTGTTGTTGTTTATAAAAGATCATATTAATTTATGTTCAGTAATATATAGAGAGATAGAGAAAAAAGAGAGAAAGAGTATAAAAAGGAGAGTTAACATAAATGAAATTATGTTATTATTATCATTATTATTTTTGAATTAGTTAGTTAGTTAGCTTGTAAACTTTTACATATTGAAAATCAAAGTATTAATGGGCAGTAATTAATTTCAAATCAGAATTAAATCAAAAATCATGTTTAGCAAATCAAGCAAAATGCACGAAATTGGAATAAACTAAATTTCAGATGGTAAATCATTTGCATCTCTAGCAATTTGTAATCAACAAAATCGAAAACAAATAATATACATTTTTTGCTCAGTGTATATATAGTATGTGAGTGTGTGTATGTGTGCAGATTAGTTGTAATTAGGCCCTGCACACTCTAAGCGCATTTCAAAAGAAGGGTCAAAGCATCAAAAAATTATTTTCAAAATCAACTAAAGAAACTCTTCAGACGTGTGTGCGATTCTGTGTGTGTGTGTGTGTGTGTATATGTGTGCGTGTGTGTAAGTGTGTATTAACGTTTTACAACTAGTTCAAGTTTTTTAAAAGCGGTGGTCTTTATATTATTGTTGCTCTTGGTCAGAGGATGGTGGCTTATTATTTAGGTGGTTCGGTTTTAAGTATTCTATAAAAAGAGTTTTCTTTTCGAGTTTTCATCAAAGTTTGTCTAATTACTGCATCAGTTTATTCACAATGCTTTTGATAACCCCAGCTTGCACAAGTTTATGGTATATTTCGATTTGGTATATATGTATATAGGTTTGGATTCTTTCTTTTGATGGTTGTTTATATTTCTTATAATATGTGTAGTCGTATGTAGCATTTTGTTAGGTTTCCTATAGATCTGCGCTTTCATGCATGTTGTGGCTGGCATTTGGTTTAGTTCTTCTTCTTCTCCTCCTGCCGTTACTCTCTCTATGTATGTTGTTTGGGTAATGGGTCGGCCTATGGAAAGAAACAGGAGAACCAATATCGTACACCGGACACGTATGCCGAGGCTATACTCTATGTGCTGCCAAAGGGTGCCGAAGGCGGTACTGAAATATCCTTGTCACCATTTTCGGCCGCATGCTGCGGCTGTTGTTGCGCCTGTTGCAGCTGCTGTTGCTGTTGCTGCTGTTGCTGCTGCTGTTGTTGCTGATGTTGTTGCTGCTGCTGCTGCTGCTGTTGCACCTGTGATTGTTGCGGTGTGTTCTGTATGGCCGTGGTGCTGCCAGCCGCCGAGAGGCTTAGCACCGCCGGCGAGATATGCGGCTCCGTAAGTCGTCGTTTACTCTTCGTTTTCTTCAGCATGGTAGCCTGAATGTAGCATAAAACACACACAAGGGTCAAAGGCGACATATCTCAACGGCTCAACACATCAACAACGTATACACCCAAAGAAAAACAAAACATTTACAGTAACAAATCGGGTTGCTGCTCTCTCTCATACTCCATTTCCTCAAGGATTTCAATAGTTTTTTCTCCAAATATTTCACAATTCATAGATCTATTAACATTGAATCGAAGTAAACTAAAGAACAAAGTTTGTTCCGAAATGAATTAAATTTTCAATTTATTCCAAACTGAGTAAGAATTAAGAAACGTCTATAAAATTCGGAGGAATCTATTTCACTTTCTCAATTTGTTTCCTTCTTCTTTTAATATTTTTAAAGGGGATGCGGAATTATATATATGTACGTCTCATATGATGTATGATCAAATTATCTTGCAAAATACACACAAAAAATAGAGTTGGACAAATACTGCACTAAATTTGTATATACATGATTTCTGGTGGGGCTTATGGGGACAGCAGGTGCTCGAATATATAAATGTATATATACATATATATGTAAACACAATTAATATCGAATACAGACACGCACTAACAGTGACAAAGTTTGGTTTCTATTGCAATTGCCTTGCTATCAACAACAATTATCTGGATTAACTTGATGAACAAATCAAATTACAAAATACGTGTAACACAATTATTCAGTTGGACCGTAATATTTGCATTTTAGGACGTAGGACGTGGCTGTTGGTTGATTGGTTTGGTTTGGTTTGGTTTGGTTGATTGGTTGCATGCAAACAGTTTTCATTATTATTATTATTATTATTTTTTTTCGTTACATAAAAACAAACACACACAGTTTTAATTCAATCAAATCATTTCTTACAAAGATCGATCTACTTTTAGCATACAAATGTGTCAACAAACAAATTCTTAAGCTATTTTCCTCAGCTTGTAGCTGTTTAACATGTAGATAACTGGAGGATAATGTGGTTGTCAAATGTTAGCAAGACTAATCGAAAGAGTCGCGTTCGCATTAGTATTATAAATTAAATGCGATCTGTTAAGGTACCAAGCTGAACTTCAATCATCAATCATCATCAATCAATCGTCGTTCGAATCCGAGTCGTATAACTTAGAGCGAAGTTTCTTTTGTTTCCTTTCTTTTTCTTTGTTTTCCAGTAAACTTTTCTAGTTTATAATAATGTTATTATTCTTATCCGGCTTAATATAATTTTTTTAGGTGGTTTGTCAAGTATGATCTGTGGTTGCTGACTCATTAGGTGTACAATCAGTAAGTAACGTACGCAGAAATTTTAGAGAAACCATAAAAAGGAAAAGAAGTGGAAAAACGCGCAGTGACAAAGAGTTTTGGTGCAAATGTTTTGAATTCATCGGGTCCATATGATATTGCTTGTATGTATATACAAAAGAAATGATAACGGAAAGCTGTCATGCAATACTAACTGAATATTTGAAGCATGCAATCCTAGCTTATATACAAAGGCCTTTAATGCTTGGCTCGCACATACCTTGAGCGCTGACTTGAGGACCACAACTTCGCCGGGGCTTTGAATCCATGGCTCGCCATCCACCTGAACTGGCATATCGGTTTTCAAGTGTATCTTGATGTGACCACCCTGAAAAGTCGGCAGAGAATTAAGTGCCTTGCTCGGGACCACAGAGCGTATGCTTAACCCACCTGTGCTATGCGCATGGCCGTGCGTATGCCCGACTGGATCTGTCCCAAGTGCACCACACCGGTCACTCCCACGACCTCCAGCATGCCATCGTAGTGATTGGGCGTGCTGAACTGATCATCCTTATCCGGACCCCAGGGATTTGCGCCGCTGCCCCAACTGCGCGAAGAAGAAGAAGAGTGATTAGCAATAGGTCATACGATATTTGTGTGATCTAAGTCCTAAGCTTACCTCAATATATTTAATATGATGATGCCGTCGACCGGTGGCAGATCTACAACCTTGCCATCGACCTCTAGGCGAAGCTCCTTTTGCAAATCCTTGACCGTTTTGCGTCCCACAATCTTGCGCAGTCCCATCTTCACGTAGTAACCCTTGTTGCGCAGCCGTGAGTTGAACTGATTGGGATTCTCCTCGCGAGCATTGTGAAAGTCCAGGCAGAGATCAGCATCGATGCCAATGCCAAAATAGTTGTTCATTACGAAGATCTGGGAGTTGTCCTCGTTTTGGGCACCGCCTGGCAATTGAGAGCAATTATTTAGTTCGAAGTTGTTCGAATCGTTGGGTGGGGGGACAAAACGCTAAACGCACACATTGACACATCACAACAAAAATTGAATTTACAAAACATCGAGTTGGATATATGAGTCGGTTTTACCGATGTATTAAGAGATCGAATTCCAGACAGCAGCCGAACTTGATACTTATATACTTTACCTGTGCTCYAGGAGCAGCTCGCTCGCTCGCTCGTCGGCAGAACTAACTACAACTAGTACGGGTGCATGCAGAGCTCTACTAAGAGCACAAATATATCGTATATACATTCAAGCTACAGCATTTATCATCAGCTAACAAACTTGACGGCGCAGTCTGCACGGACTTTACTTTTATATGGTTAGATCGGGAGGCTTGGAATTTATTATTTTGACTACTTTATGGCAGCTAAAGCTCAAATCGGGTAGCTCGACATGACATGAGATATTTCTGCAACTTATTGGAAGGATTCGAAAGGGGAATCATAAAGGTAGTAAAAACCTGTTTTTATTTCTCTTGTTAGTTGCAAAAATATTCACAGAAATAGATATCTTTGCGGATATTTGTATTATTTGTAAAGCAGTATTTAAAAGCACATTTCAAATTACAACACGAAGTGTAGAGCTATTGCTGATTTTTTTTTCTTTTTACAAGGATATTGGCCTTGGGATTGTGGATGGGGGCATTAGTTAAATTAGACAGTGAAACGCATAATAAACAATAACAAAATTTTGAAACATCAAATGACCTGATATATCACTCGATGTCAGAGCCGGTAATTGATGATGCTGATTTGTTTGTTGCGATAARTGTGCTTGGTGCGCCTTCTTCTTCTTACCAGTGGTTTGTGAGGGCGCCTTCATAGCCGGCTCTTCGGGCTTATCTTCCGGATGGAAGACGACGGTCCAACGATCCAATCTAATCTCCTCGGCCTCGATGACATCACGCAGCATATTTAGGGGATCCTCGCCACCGGTGTAGCCGGAGCCCCAACATAAAACGCGTGCCAGATCGTTGCCTGGCAAGAATTTGGCTTAGGCAACAGGAAACAGGTGGGCAAATCGGAGTCTTGCTACTTACCTGTACCCAACGGCACAATGGCGCACGGCGGACTAGAGCATTCAGAGTCCTGGCCCACGTTATCCAAGCATTGCAGCACCCAGCCAATGGTGCCATCGCCGCCGCATACCAGGATCTTGTAGTTGGTGATTTGGCGGAAAACGTAGAGCCTGTCGATGAAAGGATAGTAGATAATAATTAGGTGCTCAAGTTCTTAGGCATTCCATTTTAATTGTCGCTTACCCGGGTAACGGACCACCATTGTCCAAGTCAAAGACCTGGTACGGGTTAAGTAGTTTTCGAAAGCTCGATATTAGTTCCAGGCCCTGACAGCCGCCGGATTTCACATTTACAAAGACCAACAGTGGCCTGACATCGGAGGGTACCATGCTGGGTTCAATATTTGGCAATAGCAAGACCAGTAGCTTTTTGTCCTCAATGATCGTTTCACGTAGGTTGTAGAAAGCGCGAACCTGATCCGAAATATACGAAATTGATAAGGATCCTCAACAGTCAGTTCTAAGGTGTCTACTCTTACCGCCTTTTGAGCGTCCTCGAATGTTAACACGACCGAACCGTACTCATAGTAAATGGGTCCAATGCTGATGAATTTGTTCTCATCAGTCACATATTTGTTTAAAATTTGCTCGTAGTTGCGCTGCGAGAGTCCTGTGGGCAGGTTGCCCACAAAGAGTGCAATGTTTGGTCCATGGGGATCCTGCTTATGCTGCATGTAGAAGCGCATCAGTTCCATTTGTCGTATGGAATCCTTGCCCAGATGCTTCATTATATCCCAGGGACGTTCGTTCCACGAGAGTATGCGCTCGGTAACGCCGCGGTCGAGCAAGACTTCCGAGCATCTGGGAGCGGATTGGGAGTTAGATAGTTGAAATTTTTGATTATGAGTCGTCGTACCTGTAGTCCTGTATTTGGTTATCATGTAGACCGAATTTATCGAGAGCGTCGCGTATCAAGTCCTTGATGACAGTTGTATTATCCACAGGAACATTGACATAGGGATCCTCCAGTGAGCACTGCAATTTGCCAGGATACACACGCACATGTCCCCGGTCCCTGTCGTGAAACCTCAAATAGATGGCCGGTCGCTTGCCCTCCAAGTGCGTCAGATTCAACACGGGCGTCGGATCCTGCAGCGGTGTGTCTTCCATGCCAGCGGGCGCATACATATCGGTCAGATAAAAGGCCTGCGGATCGCGTGTGATGTGAAAAGCTCGCAAGGCGGTGGTCAATAATTGCTCCAGCGTGTATGTGCGCTGAACGACGATCGCACGGTACTGCTGGCGTCGGAATGAGTTGTTGCCATCAAACACCTTGATCATCTCTGCAAAGAATGGAACGATGGAACTGGTTAGTCTTGGCCTTGGGAGTGGGATATCCTTTGTCATACTCACCTATATCCTTCTCTTCACGTTCTTTTTCCTTTTTCTCTCGGTCCTTTTCCGATTTATCGGACTTGTGGCCCGTCGGCTCGGCTCGATACTGTGTGGAAGAGCCACCTGAGCCAGGACCAGTGCCGCTGGCGCTGGCAGCAGCTGCGCCTCCGCCACCGCTGCTGCTACCGGCACCGCCTTGGGCGTTCATGCCATGCGAGGACTCGCCCTTGCCCAGGGATTCCTCGTCCTTGAAGCGGGGCGCATCTCCGCTGCTAAACTCCTCCGATATACTGCGTGCTAAATGAGCGCAGAGTTACAAAAAACCGTTAGTCTCTGCTTCAATCACTGAACCGGGCCGGGTGTTAGCTTGAGGTGATCATGCAGTGTCGGGGTTAGTTGACTGTGGATCGATTGTGACTGTGACGATTGTGGCGAAATGTGTAATGCGAGGCGACATGGTGCGATCGTGTGATGATTAGTCGAGTTAGTAGTTAATTAAAGTAGGTTAAAAACAATCGATAACTAAAACAGATTGTTAGCTCAATAACTAGAAACAAGAACCAAGAACCGAAATCAAACTTAAGCCAATCGAGCACTGAGTACTGACAGTATACGGCAGTCGGTGGCAGTTGCTGTTAGAGAGAGATTACAAAACGAGTACAAAGATAGCGGTACGCTAATCACCTCTGCGCTTCTGGTAGCGTGGCTTGCGCCAGCCGGCGGACAGGCCGCGCACGCGCCGCAGCAGACGGCCGAGCACGTGACCCGGTGCCTGGCCATCGGCATCGCTGGCACGGGATCGACTGCTGGCGGCGCCATCGCTGATATCGCCAGCGATGTCCTCGCCACTTAGGCCGCCGACGCCGCCGACGCTATGCGGCCGATCGTCCAGATACAAATCCTCGTAATCCACATCGTCGTAGCCATCGGCATCCGTATCGTGGGGCAGACGCGCCGCGGACAGCATGTGATAGTTGTCATCGTATGGCTGATAGTTGCCATCCTCATCCTGTATGGTTATCTCAATGTTTTGCGATAGTCTGTCCAGGCTGTAGTTGCTCTTGGCGCCGCCCTTGGGCGAGCGCTTGGAGCGTCGACGCTGGAACAGACCGCGTCCGTATTTCTTGTTGCGGGCGATGCCCGGCTCCTGGAACGACTTGCTGCGGCCCACAGGGGACAGCTGCAGGACCGCCGCGGTCGGTGCGGGGGATGCCGAGGAGCAGTCGCTGGAATTGGGTGAGCTCACCGATCCGCCCTTGTGCTTGGGCGCACTGAGTATGGGTTTGGGCTTGGGCTTGGGCTTGGCTTTCAAGAGAGCTGCAGTCTTTGGGTTGCGGCCGGCGAGCACGCTTAAGGCATGTGAAGCATCAGCCGTGGGCGGACCAGGGGCGGGGCCCTTGCCCTTGGCTGCGCCTGAGGCTGTGCCTGTGCCTGTGGCTGTGCCTGTGGCTGTGCCTGCGGCTGTGGCTGTGGCAGTGGAGCGCGCTTGATTCCGGCGCTGCTCGGAGGTGTTAGAGGTGTTACTATTACTACTATTATAGCTAAGGTTGCTAATCAGATTCATGCTGGAGTCGAGATCGTCGGTATTGGTGAGTTCACCACCCGTATCGGACGTCTCATAGCAGCTTTCCCGCGGCGCCGTCTCCAGCTCCACGTCGCCATGGTAATCCGTCTCGCTGACGTCGCGCGGCGATCGACGCGAGCAGCGCTTGCGCAGCGAGACATCGCAATGATCGTAATCGTCGCTCAGGTCGCCGCCGCTAATATCACAGACTCCGCCATCCAARTCATCGTCGTCGTCGTCATCCTGCTCGCTGTTCGAGGCGCCGCGACGTCGACGTCGGCGCGCATGGTTCAGCTTGCGGAACAGACTCGTGTAGAGCAGATGCAACGAGGAGTTGGCCGACGGGGACTTTTGCAGTGGCCCTGGGCCCACATTGCTGGAGGCGGTGGTCAGCTGAAAGGCGCTGTCAGGCTCCGTCGTATTGCACTGCTGTTCGTAGTCGTCCTCCTCGGCATCTGGCTCGTCCGGGTCCTGATAGCCGCCGGTTAGCGAGTTGCTTGTGTCGCCCACTGTCAGCGATGGCGTGGGTGAGACACAGAGGGAGATGGAGCCACAGGATGTGGGCGTGGGCGGCGTTGAAAGTAAAAAATGTTGTTTCGATTGCTCAAGACGCTGTCTGTGGAGCTCGAGGAGCTCCTTGAGACACAAACCCGATGCACCAACTTCACCAGCCGCGGCCTCTGCACCGAGCTCCGGGCTGGCTGCCAAACCAAACCAAAAAAGAAACGTTTAAAATAACACAAGAAAAACTTAATAAATGAATAAATCGAAATGAAAGGAAGCAATCGACAAAGAGACAGAGCAGAGTGAACGAAATGAGGAAATAAACCGCAGTTGTAGACTGAACAAGTTTCAATTTGAAAACAAAATAAATGAGAACAAACAGAAGAAGGAGACATAACAAGACGAAAACTGTTTGCGATAGTGTAACAAGGTGAGAAGAGTAGGATGAGGCTTGAATAGCTGAGATGATAGTCCATGGATCTGAGAATACATTCAAATGTGCACAACATCGAGAGCTGATGCAGCTTATTGGGTGAGTTTGGGTGAGTGAGCTGTTGTGCGCCCATTGGCTGGCCGCCGCATTTAGGCCGTGGCAATTGGATCGCGCAATCGATGCGATCGAATTTGGGATACGTTTGCTAGAAATGAGGCCAGTTTGGTACTTACGACAAGAATAGTCGCGTACGAGCGACGTCTTCGATTTGACCTGGACGCCTATGATCGCCTCGATGGGCACCTCTGTACGTGGTATCGACACTGAATGCGGAGGTAAGTAGATAGGTTGTAGAATACCAAAATTACATTCGGTTGACAGGTACATGCGACATCCAGCGTGCGTGGTCATGCCACACCACTCGCAGCGATAGCCTGAGCGAATAAAGGGAAGCAATTGATTAGCATAAGGAAGATTCTATCGTATAATCATTCACTCACCTGTGAGGCATTCCGAAGACCAACAGGTTTTCTTGCAGTAGGCGCATTTGGACGTTGATGGAAGATTGCCCTCCCGCCAATGATGCTGTGAATCATATCAGATTTCTCATATCTACCATCTGTATCATCCATCTATTATTTGTTACTCACTTGATGCCTCACATTAAGCAATTCCTTGCCTGGCACGTATGTTGCATTCTCTGTGCAATCGGGCACTGCAAAATCTTGGCACTCAATATGTGCGAAATATTCGCAAACTGTGAGGGGGGATACATTATTTTATTATATTTTATTATACATATATATGCATATATACTTGGCAATAAATAATTTTAGTATATTAATGTAAGTACAAATTTAAAATTAATTTTTGTGGACAAAATTTCCTGAAATTTCTATAAATATACAAAATTCAATTTTCTATATGATCTCACGATTCTATATTAATTTGATGAAACTAACATATATATAGAAGTAAATTTTTATAGATATTTCTTGGAATATTTCGAATTAAGTTCTGGCGCAAAAATAAAAATATACATATAATTTTATATAGGTCAATCTCACGAAATTAATTAGAACACTTTAAAATAAATATATAAGCAAATTTAAATTCATGTACTTATATAGATCATGAAATATTACGAATTAGACTTTGACGAAAATGACACGAAAAGTGCATAAAGCTATAAATAAATTGAATACATGTTTGACATGAACAGGAATTGGTTATGAAATGCATTTTAAATTAACAGACAGCCCTCAAACCGGGACAGGAGCGAGCTTCGAGCCATTCTACTTGTCGGTCGATGGGGCGCGCTGGCTTACCTAAACAATGCACCGCTGGTGTTTCATCCAATCTCTTACGGCATACGGTGCAGAATTTTCTCTTGTGATGGGTTGGTTCCGACCAACAATGGGCGACGGGATTCTGTCCAACGAGATGACAGTTGTCAAGTTATTCAATGAACAGCAGATATGCGGCAKGCATGCATGTATGTAATGTATATAGACCTACATGCATGCATGCATGCCTGCATATATATGTATGTATATGCGGTAGTGTACGCACCTTTATAATGCATGGCGCAATGCCGGAACAGGGCGTTACAACGCTGGTGACACATCGTTCGTGTATAATAAAGTTGCAAACTGCAAAAGAGAGAAGCAAAACGGGGAAGTCATGAAAGTATCATTCAATAGCAAATAAAGGCACCGTTCTCTCTAGCTATGTAATGTCAGTGCTTATCTAAATGAAACAGACATGCATATAGATGTATATGTATGTATCTATATGCACATACATATACACATACATATGTGTGAGTGAGCCCCATAATTTTACGCCTGGATGTGAGTCGCATTTGCATTACATACAGTCAAAGCTGCTTAAAAAATCGGACTTTTAAATATTTATATGTTTTAAATTTCTTTTTGATGAAATATAATGAGGCTACTTAATAATTATTGTGACAATAGACGATAATAATAACATAATTTAAGATTCAATAGAATCAGTAAATATATTGTATGTTACTACAGGTATTTTTTATATATTCCATATTTCATAAAAAATAATATTATAATTTATTATTTCTGTTATATTATAATATTTTTATTTTACTTATGCATCTCTAGCTAATTATAATTTAATTCCATGCGGACCTAATTAGCCAATTAGGCTAGCCAACGAGGCGTTATCCTCAGCTCCTTTATAGTGATTTCACTGTACATGTTTAAAGGTATGTGCCCTGAAATGCACATTATATGCTTGGGTTTGTGGACAATGCTACGTCATCGTCAGCCAACCATTACTCGGCCATTCATAGCGATGGGCCAAGCTGGCTCTTGAGTTCATGGGCGCCATTTTCATTGAAGGCTTATGCACACACACACACACACTCACACGCAAACACATACACGCATGCATGTACAAAAGCACTTGCATGCAGATGCACACAAACACACACATACACACATATATATACCAGCACACACACACACTCACTCTCAAGTGAGCTGAATCAAAATGGAAGCGAACGCTAAGTGGCTAACCGAAAGAAGAGAAGCAAAAGCAGCACACAGCGAGAGCGAGAGCGAGAGAGGGAGAGAAGCACGGACAAAAGCGAAAACAATACTGTAGGGCAAACAAAGAGCTCTCTCCCGCTCGCTCCTACTTCGTCTACTCTATGTGCGCGTGTGTTGGTGTCTGAATGGAAGTAGCAACAGCTCGCAGCCTGTGACCGAAGCTGCGCTGCCAGCGTCTTGAGCAGCAACACTACACGAATACATGTGCTGAGTGCAGCGCAGCTACATATACGCATAGGTGTGTGCGTGTATGTGTGCATGATAGTGCGTGTGCATCTGTGTGTGTGGTCTCGTATGTATTTTTGGTAGATCTCTCTGCGTGTAGCCCAACATAGAAATAAGAATTTTATTTTTAGCATTGCGTGAACATTTTACAAACATTTTATGTACATACATACATACATATATGTATGTATCTAATTATATGCATGCATAGGTACTTATGTATGTGCATAGGTGTAGCAAAATAAACTCATAATTGAATACATGCCAGTATGTACGTATGTATGTATGTATGTATGTATGCGTGCAGTTGGGGCTACATTTATTTGTAGATATGCATTTGAGTTGATGTGCTTGTATGTATTTGGCTCTGAGTCGAATTAGGCCGCTGACCTGACGCTGACGCCCTGACGTCATGAATGAACTCATGAGTTGTTGCTGCTGCTGTAGCTGTAGCTGTTGTTGTTGCTGTTGTCGTTTAGCTATGTATATAAATAAACGAGTACTCGAAGCGTTTACGGCGCATGTTGCATGTTCCAAGTGGATTACAAATTTTTTAACCAAATGTGAGGCTGGCATGAAATCAACTGCAGCCTCTCAATCGACGAGAGAGTGAGCAAGCGGGTGAGTGTCTGTGTATGTGTGCAGGTTCATGAAACATAATATTATACATATTTGAAGCAAGCAGCAGGCATACAATTCTCATATCCATATCGTTTGATTCGAGTGGAGCACGTGGCCCGCACTAGKTTTATTTTATGATTTGGAGCATTACGAGTGGACGTTAACTATCTGTGCATACATACATATGTATTTATGCATACATATATATTAAATACATGTATTTATAGTTATATTCATTTTGGTTTGCATTTTCTTTGGCATTATGTATACCAAAATGTTAACGTACGCATGTATGTATATATATATGTGTCTGTATGCCAACAGAGAAGATAAGCGCGACGAGGACGCATGGGAAATTTTCTAATGTTATTCTTCAGTCTGGTTGGGAAATTCACGAAACTCAACACACTTTTACTTTTTCATCTTTTGCTTTTGCTTAGCAAGGGCGCGTTATCGTCATTGTTTGTGAGTATATATATATGTGTGTGTGTGCGTGTCTGTGTGTGTGCTTACACTTAGAACAACAATAACAAAGGAAACCTAAAGCCAAATCGTCTAAAAGTACTCAAAGAAGTTGGCAGCAAGTAAAGCTCGAAGACGATGCCCAAAAATGAAAATATATATGTATGTATGTATGTATGTATGTATGTATGTATGTATGTATGTATGTATGCATGTGTGTGTGTGTGAGGTGGCAAAAAATGTTTGCGAAGCCAAAAGAGCACACACTCTATGTGTGTATCCATACTGATTGTGTGTGTGTGTGTGTCTGTGTGTTCGTGTTAGCTGTGGCAATTGAATGGGCACAAGTTGACATGCGTAGTACAATAGCAACAATTAAAACTGATATTTGCATAGAACATAGACATGAGTTATAGAAACTTGCTTTCGACAGCAAATCAATTTAGAATCTAACTTCATGACAGCTAGACTCTCTCGAAAATAGATGAAACCATAATTAAATATAGAAATGATTGGATGAATGTGACGCATGAATAACATACATATATACATATCTATATAGATATGTACATATGTATATAATGCGTATTCGCTTCTAAATTTGTGGCCACTTGGCCCTGACCACGACCAACATGGCGTATGCGCAACATTCGAACTCGAGGGCTTTTCATTGGAAATGTCAACCGACGCTTTGACGAATATGTATGTATGTATGTGTGTTACAGTTAYAGTTACAGTTACGGCAAGCGAGTGCAGCCAATTCATAATTCAATAGTTCGTCAAATTGCATTTGCGTGCTATTTATAGTTCATCAATCGAAATAGCATAACGCTTTAGTTTACCATAAATGTAATTTGTTGAGCTCCAAATGAAATAAACTCAATTCGATTCAGAGCCAAATGCGCGCAGCTACAGAATTTGCTGTGCGAGCGTGCACGCACACACACACACACAAACGCGCACATAGCACTTTGGAGCAAGTACGTAAGCACACACAAGGCAACAGTCAAGGATATATAGCGCGAATGGCTATCAACGCGCGATGTTGACGTCGACATTGCCGCCAGCTGCGCCACTTGATAGAGATTGGATTTGCATACCCTGTAACTAATTTATATTTATAGGCTGTATTATGCTTATCTCGGATCATAGAAAAAGAGTAGCTCTAGACAGTTTACAAGTTGCTTTTTGACTATGCTAAGCTTTCCCATTTGCATGTACCGTAATATCATTTATAATATTAATTGAATAAATATTATTGAAGGTATTTAATATAATAAAATAAACTTTTTATACTTATTGATAATGAGAAATCATTTGTAAATAAGGTAGACCCAAAATCAGATATATCTTAAATTAATTTGAATTCGTGTATTAAAGATTAAAAATGTAGAAATTAAAAAAAAAAAATGTAATTCCATTGTTTATATGTATGTTAAATTTTTAAATCATTTTTATTTATCTAAAATTCGAAATAAACTATTACGTATTTAAATTTAAGTAATCAGCAATTAATTAGATATAATATAATTTAATATAATCTAAATTTATTATGATTCGTTTATTTAACATTCAAAATAAATGCCAATTTAATAGATATTTTCTAATTATTAAATGCATATACTAAAAAGTATAAATACGAAATTAATGAAAATCAAAGAACTATTTATTCAAATTGAGTTATTAAACGAGTCTATCTTTATATACAAATATTTAATTGAAATTCAAAATTAGATTTATTAAAATTAAACTCATAAGTCAAAATATTGAAATTTATACTCATCTTTAGTTATTAAAAATTTAATATGAATAAAAAAGAAATATTTATTTATTTAAAGCAATTGGCGCAACTTTTTTGAATGGATTAATTATTTTATAAAATTCAAATATATTGATTCTCTGTTTCTTGCTTTTGAATGGAGATTCAGACATCGTTACTACATAAATAATTTAATTTTAAATTTAATATTTGAAAAATTTCCTTCCTATTTTTGAAGTAATCCTATCATATGATAATGAGCCAGGGATACAGTTTTGGTCTTAAAAACATCAAATTAGGCATATAGAGTATCTTCTGTCAGCCCGTGTGGTTTATGGATCGCGTAGCTAAATTCAAAAGCCAAATGTATTGGATCAAAGTTGTTGTTGCTTGGCGCGCAACGTCAGCAGTGCCACTTGAGGACAGCCCGCTCTCGCAACCAACAATCGAATGGTTCTGCCAGCCAAACTGACGACCCACTAGTTTACGAAAAGAAAACAAAAAAACAAAACAAGAAACACAAATACAAAATCTGTTTTCATTTGTTTGTTGTTTTATATTGTTGTAATTGCTGCTGCCATTGTTGGGAGTGGTTGTGTTGCTGCTGTTGCTGTTGTTGTTGCTGCTGCTTTGGTTTTCTATATAGCGTTATGAATGAACAGCACCGACGATGTTGTGGAGAAGGTAATTAAACGGCAGCAGGTCCGCACCTCTGTTTGCGCATATGGCACTCGGTTTTTTGGTTCCGCCACATTCATGGCGGCCATTGATGACGCACTTTTAGCCCTTCATTGCTATCGGCTAGTAACGGAAGCAGGGGTAACAGCTGTCTGTATATGTGTGTGTGCCTATGTGTTTCTGTCTGCCTGTGTGTGTGTATGTGTGTAGGTGTGTTAACAGGCCCACACACACACGGACAAGGGCACGACAGAGCTGAACAGGGCAGAGCAGAGCAGAGCAGAGCAGGCCAGCCGGCTTGTAACGAGCCCACACACTTTTTCACATTCAATTTGGTCCTTATGCTCACCTGCTGCTGCTGCTGCTGCTGCTGCTGCTGCTGCTGCTGCTGCTGCTGTCGCTGTTGCCGCTGCTGTCGCTGTTGCTGCTGCTGCTGCTGCGTCTGTTGCTGCAATTGCCAGTTGTTATCGGCCCCCGCAACCCTTGAAAACCAATTGAAACGTTGCCTGCAGCTGTGCGCATCCTGTACGCGCGCGGCTCTGTTTGTGTGTGTGTGTGTGCGTGAGTGTGTATTTCTGTGTGTATGCAATTGTGAGTGCATCTCGACCTAGTTTTAGGCGAGTAACAGAGCGCAACCGCTGCTGTTTGGCAACTGTGTGTGGGCGAGTGACTTCTCGTTCTTTCTGTCTCTCATTCTCTTACTCGCACTTTCGCTGTCCGATTTCTAAGTCTCTATCTCTTTCTAGCCGCTATAGGAACAGTGCAGCTTGCACACCTGCCTGCCGACCTGTCTGCCTACCTGCCTGCCTGCTGCAATTGAATTCTTAATTCAAATGCCAATCCGATCTTTCGTTTGCTCTCTCCCACTCACAATTTAATGCTCAAACTCAATTAGTGCAGCGTAAAACCCCCTCGCACGCTTTCCGATGAGAGCGACGCCTGGGGTTATGCTACACAAAACGAAAGTTTGCTCTAAAAATACATTTGAGGCGAACAGAAATGGAATATTCAATTGCATTTCGCTATAAATAAATATACATACATATACATATTATTTGTTTATTTCTATATATATATTTCGTCATAGATACATATGTATCATGTGTATTGTATGTACGAAAATGGGGATAGTTCATTCCGAATATTAATGCAAAGCATTGAGTTGCAAAATCTTCAACAAATGATGTATATAATAATAGTATCTGCATGTTTATTTAAAAGCAAGAAATAGAGATCTAATATATTATTTATATATGTATATATTATTTATAAATGTATTATATAATCCCAATGCTTTCAATATGGACTCTAAGGCATATACGAGACTGTAAAAGTTGTTTAGAGTGCAGGGTATTTGATGTCATTATGACCTTTTAAGCACTCTTGACTCTAGCTGTTGTCGAAATGCATATTGACAAGCTGAAGCTGTCATAGCAACAATTAAATATACAATTGCACTTAAAATATGCCAATGAGCGATTATTTTTAGCTGACACTGTCAAAAGCCAAAGCCTCAAGTCTGTTGGTATATTAAAATCTCGAGCTGATTGCGATTGCATTTATATGTAATATTTATATGTCATATGTAAATATATATTTTTATGAACAAATTTGCAGCTGGCCAACTGAATTGGCTGGGAAATCTTTAGGTATACGAAAAATAGGAAGAAAACGCTCTATGCAATAATTATAATAATAGCCGAAACAGCACAAATAAACAAATTAACGCACGCGGCGAGGCGCCTAACGCGCTTCCAATTGGGAGAGGCGGCAGCAGCATCAGCAGCAGCGATATGGCGATTGGCTTGTCCGGCCTGGCCCCAGTTTGATAGATTCTCGTGGCCAGCCGCAGCCCCAATAGACCCCAACGCCAATTGCCAGTGGCCCCACGGCCGTTGCTGTGTCTGTGACGTCGTTGGCCGGGCTCACGTCATGATGCTGCCAGCTGCTGGTTGAACAATCTATTTGTTTTTGGGAAAGTTCAAATGCGCACACTTTTCGCCAAAAATAGAACGACGACGATGATGATGATGTTGTGGATGACGCTGATGATCATTGGCGTGCATCTCGGTCATGTGGAGAGCGTGCGGATGCAGCTTGTAAAAATCACACGATTTCGGTCCACATTATGATGGCAATTCGAAAATGTATTAACAAAACTAGACAAATGTATTTTCATAGAATTTTGGGGCCACTTTTCTCTGATTTGCGCTTTCGATTTGCTCGTTTAGTGCTCATTAAATTGAACTTGGCAGCTCGCAACTGACTAAAGGCCAGAAGTGATCTACGATCAACAAACAACAACAAAAACAAAACAAGTCCGTCAAATTTGTATAATTAAGATCTATCTATAATATAATATGTGTCCCATATATATTACATTTTTCTATATGTATGAATAGTTTACTGCGTTCTATATATAGAGCTTACATTATAAGAAATATTAGTTTTAATTTAATATCTTTATGATGTTAAAACAAATCAAATTATCCTATTTCTGGGAGTAATAGGGGAAAATATCCAGAGACATGACTCTTAATTACTGAATTCCTTAAGAGAATCAATTTACAGGAAAGTAAGAACTGTACTTGCTATGCAGTCCTATGTGTAATATTTCAAGTACATATGTATATATGTATAATCATGTCCAATTTTAAATGTTGTCAGATACAATTTCTACTGAATATATTTTGATAGATATATATGTATAGATATAGCATCATATGGCTGTCATAAGCAATTAAGTCCTACATACAAATTAATGCTATATTTAAATGTCAAAAACAATTTTTATATCTGGGTTCAATGCCTATTTAGTACTTTAGTACTTTCTAAAATCGCCTAATAATAATATCTGCGTGACTAGATTCGATTCCCATAAATTTAACCTTCGCTAAAACTCCAATTAAGCTCCAAACTATGTTATTAGATTTATTTAATTTATTTTATTTTTGTTTACTAATATTTAGATAATAATTAAAAAAGTAAAAGATTTGGAAGTATGGGCAGCATAGATAGATTGCTGCAGCTCCCTCAACGGAGAGCAGCATAGATCACTGTCGGCTGTCATACTGTTAAATACATCTAAATACAAAGTGTCGTATACTCAATTAAAAACCCTTCAGATCTGATTAATTGTGCTCTTTCAAAGTTTGTGCTAAATTAGACAGTAGACAGAGAATCTGCACTAATTAAAAGATAATAGGGCACTGAAATGATCCAACGACAGGCGCCGACTAAGCATGTTCAGGAACATGATTAGAGTGACTGAAGAGAGAAAGAGGAAAGAATCAATTTCTAGCAAAGCTAAAACTATTGAACCAACTGCAACTTCTAAATAATGTTAGAAGTAATGCCAGTTTCGGGCCTTTACAATGTATTGCTCGTTTAGCTCAAAGACAAGTTGTATAGTTTTATTAATGTCATACCAGTAAAATTTAGTTTATTAACAAGATACAATTGATAAAACTTAATAAATGAAACTTACTATATGCAAGAGAACTTGAGACATGTGTAAACTAATTTATCAAGAATTATCCTGTTATGCTGACAAAAAGTAATTACTATATAATATATGTACTATATATATCATGTGTTTATTTTATTTTTAAGTTGTGGTCTCTACAATTGCTCGCTTTTGGGTTGCCATATAAGAAAGATTTTTATTATTAATTTGCTTAGCTGCAGTAAGCCAAAGGGCACTGAAAGAACGATCAGAAGGAATGCCAGCAAAGAGAAAACGAGAAAGATAGAGTGACCTTCCCGCTCTGTCATTTCCAAAAAGAAATTATATATACAATACAAAATTATATATAATATACAAATACTCATATAAGAAGAAATATTAGTTTCTTTTAATAGCGTAAACCACTCTGAAAGTCGAACCCTATGATAGTTCCTTAATGATCTACTAATCGCACTTACCTTCGCAAATGTAGCCCTGCTGTATGAGGCCCCACAGTAGATCCGAGCAGTGGTGACAGTAAGTTGGCTTATGAAATGTCTTCTTCACAAATGAATGCCCATCCGCCATTTTGTTTTTGTCGGCTACTGCTAAATTTTACAATTAGCAGGCGGCTATCGCTGGCGCCTGTTGAAAAATCGCGTGGGACCGTTTAAAGTTGCTGGGCGTTGTGTTGTTGTTGTGGTTGTTGTAAATGTTTACTATGGTTGTTTAAGAGTGACACGCGAATTTGTGCTTTGTTGATGACTATTGTTGTTGTTGCTGTTGTAGTTGTTGTCGTTGAGAGGCGTTTGTGCGTTGTTAATTTGGTGTTTGTTGTTTCTTTGCTTCCTTGTTGGTTTGTTGCTTGTTGCTTTTGTTTAGATGGGCACTGCAGGCTGCATGTGCATCTGCGCACCTTTAGAATAGTTTGGCTAGCCAATTAACTGTAGTAACTGGTGCGTACTAAGCCGCAGCCAGCTGAGGCAGTGGCAGAGTGCTTGGGCTTAATTCGAGCAGCGGCAGCGTCACTTGCGAAGGCGCTTCCAGCAATATGGGCGTACAAAAATAGGCGTGACTTGAGAGCTGCGTAACCTGTGTCGCCAACTGCTGCTGCTGCTGGACTGCTGCGGCTCCTGCTGCTGCTGCTACTGCTGCTGCCCTTTGGTGTTTCAGTTGCTGTTGAGGTTGTTGTTGCTGTTGCTGTTGTAGTTGCTGTTGTTCGTGTGGCAGCGGCTCCGACTCTGGCACCGCCTTCTGCTGCTGCTGCTGAGGCTGACAAAAGCGATGACAAATGGACAACGACGACGACGACAAAAATGACGACGACGGCTGCATTTTCATCCATTGATCAACTGGTTGTTGCTTTTATCCAGACATTTGTCGGAATTTGGCGGCGCCTCTGCGCTCCCACCTTCGTAATATGGTATTAAGCAGCGAATTCTTGATTTTCCTTTAGTCCGGGCTTTATAATCAGATTGAAGGCTACGTTGTCATTTACGGTTAAAAATAGAGCTATTGGCTTTTAATTGTAGATCATTGTAGTTTTGTATTCTTATGTTTTATATATTTGTTTAGTTGTATATTTATAAATATTTTGCTTCGCGTTTGGTGGAGTGTTTGTTGCTATATTTCTTTGTTACTTATTTACAATTAACTGTTACTGTTGCTTCAAGCTCTGCTTTAAAGAAAAAAATCACAAATTACACTTAGCTCACTTGCTCGAAAGCTCACTATTTTATTTGATTGCATTTTTCGGAACTAGGAATTATTTATTTATTTAATTGATTCGTTTTTCGCGTTTATTATTATTATTTCTAGCGTCGCTCAACGTTCACAACAGCAGCGAAAATGTTGGAATGGTCTTTAGATTCCGCTGGCCCGCAGTTGGAGCGTGTTTTTCCTCCTTGGCGCTGCCTCCTTTTCACTACGTGGGCGCCGCACCCCCAAACGACAGGCAATAAAAGTTTCGAGATAACATAATATGCATGAGCGGGAGTTGTCGGCAGCCCACCACAGCCAGAGCGTGAGAGCGTGAGAGCGAGCGTGCGCGAGAGAGTGTCTAGACTCTAGAGCCCAGCGTGTTTGCTTGTGTGTGGTGAGTTTGCTGCGATGAGCAGCAATACCCGTTATTTGAGTGTACGCTATTTCCCCACACACTTATCGCACATATAGAAAGTAGTAGACATCATATAATAATAAAAGTGGCAAAAATATGATATCAACAGCGTGTCAAGAGAGAGACCCAGCACGAACGCAACGACAGCGAGCGGGAGAGAGCGACAGAGTTGAGCTGCCGATTGAAAATGCATTGAAAGTTTTAGATTCCAGAATTGAATGAAAATGCATTATGCTTTCCCTGTGCATTGCCTATCAAATGCCCCGATAAGTATGCACCATTGTCAAGCGGAATAACAGTGGCACTATTGCTCCTGCTGCTGATGATGATGATGATGATGACGGCATAGTCGCAGAAACGTATGTGTATGTACATATGTACATGTATACCGTTGTATATATATGAGTGCTCCAACGACACCCACGCACAGAGCGTTCATTCACTCAAGGACAATCGCCAGAGCTTGACCATTAACTCATACAAATTCTAATAATAGACGGCACACTTGAAATTTTCAGCTTTACGACAATATGAAAAGGACCAGCAAGACCAGCGGCAGTCTTTATAAATATATCAAATCTACTCGACATACACACTTACATATGTACATGTGTACATAAGTATAACTATATGAGCCAAGCATGACACAGAGGCCTGTCGCCACCGTCGCCACGACGTGGGAGGTTCATGTTCATGTCCTGGTCACCCAGCGGCATGCGCAGTCCCCAATTCACCACACAAAAGCCGAAGCGAAACTGTGTGCAAAAAGTGGCCAAGTTTAAGGATAAATCACTACGAACAGCAGCTGAAAAGGGAACAAAGAGCAGTGGAGCCCAATGGAATTTGGCAACAAATGTTGCTGTTGCTGCTACTGGCATTAGTGGGGTTAAGGCCGCATCAATTTCGTGAGTGCGAAATATTATGGAAATTAATAAAAATTATTGACGTTGAGGCAGTTCGCACAACACACATATAAATGTTTATGCGCCTGTGTGTATGTGTGCGTGTATAGCACGCATGTACATATGCATATGTATGTTTGTGTGTGTGCATGCATACATATGCGTAGAGCAAGCAGCAACCGTAACACTTTTCACCCACAGCCCGTGCTTGTAGCGCCCATTGCCCGTTGCCCACTCCCACTTCCAATCTCACTCTCCTTTTCTTTTACTCTCTCTCTCTCTTTGTCCCTGTCTCTCTCGCGCTCTTTCTCTCCCTCTCTCTCTGTCGCTCCCGAACGTTGCGCGCTTCGCTCTTTTCGAGCCGCATGAACAAATCGCAATAGATAGAGAATTTTTTTCTTTCTGCCACGGCTGCTCCTGTTCTGCGGCTGCCAACATCGTTCATTCCTTGCCACACATACACACACATATTCACACACACCTACACAAACAGATAAACGGCGAACACATATACACCCACACATTCACACACACATTAAATGGCAAAGTCCTTGACTGCGTGGCTTTTATTGTACATATATTTTTGAATTGTCCAAAACTTGGAAACAATGCAAACTTTTATTAATGGCATTTTGGAAATTTTCAATTGTATTAGCTGCATTAAATGTTTAACGAGCGCTTATGAACTTTGCACATATGACAACGTAATTTTCACGTTAACACACGCACATACACATCTATATATATACACGCACGCACACTCACACGCACACACACACAAGCAGACACTCGCGCAGATACAAATTTTATGTACCATATATTTTTGCTGGACAACGTTGACGACGGCAATTTGCAAAATTGAAACTGCTGCTGCAGCTGCCAGTGCGAATTTGCACAATAATTTTCGATTTTCATTTTCATTTTAGTTTACACATCTCCGCTGCGGGAGCTAAGAATTTTCACTGCTGTTGCGATTGCGGTTAACAAGAATTATTCTTCATTTTACTTGCGCCCTTTTGAACAGGCTTTCGGAATTTTTCGCACTTGAATTTCAATTTTTCTGGGTTACGTTTACGTTTCGCGATTTATTTGGTTTATTGTTTGCACTGCGATTGTTTGCCGTTTTTTATTGAATGGAAAATTTTCACAATTCGAATGTGCAAGTTTTCAAGTTTTTCTTCTTTTCTTGTACATTTTTTCCCACTTTGTTGTGTGGTATGTGAAAATGAAAATTCTTCTCTGTGTGTGGCAGTGCCCCCGTAACGTACAAAGAGCACACACCTAGTGGGTTGTGTGTGCTTGTGCTTCGCTGAAGACGATGGTGCGCTCTGACTGGGGCCGAAAATTGTTCAACGCTCGCCAGCTCCGCCACTCGGCTGCTGCCTGCAAATTCGGCGTGTTGAAATTTTTGGCGGCCGCAGCGGAAAGTCCCACCAACAACACTGGGAAAATAGCGGGAGCGCGCTGCCCAATTTGCTCAAATTTCTCTCAAATAGGCTCGCTCTCGCTCTCGTGCTCTCATGTCTCTTTGCATTTGTTTCATACTCCCTCTCAGTCAATCTCACAGTCAGTCAGGCACTTGCTCTTCCCGTGATGTTTTTGTATTTTTTCTTTTTATTTTTTTTGGCAAACGTTTGAGTCGGTAATCGATAAGAAATATCGAGTCACTCCTTTTAGACAGGAGAGACATTTTTTTGAATGCACTGATGGAAAATAAGAGTTTATAATGCGACTGATCAAAAAACATCAATTGGTCAATAAAGAATGTATAATTTAAACTCAATAAATTTAATGGTTTCTTAGCTGGTAATTCCTTTAATTTAGTTCATTACTACATTAACGCTACAAATTAAATTTAAAACGATTGCCTCAGCTGTTTCGTCAAATGGGATTTAAGTAGAGACTGCAACACTTTCTAGCCGAGACACACATCACTTGTACTAACATCGATTGCTCGATATTGCCAAGTGTGACCATAGATTAAAATAAAAAACCGTTTTCTACATATGGATATTTTGTATTAGCATTGTTGATTTTATTTATTAATATTGTGTAACAAATGTTTGTCAGCAGTTAAAGATGATGTATGAAGGTAATTTATGTTGTGCGTAACTATGAAAGTACATGTAATGTATATTTATATAGATCAAGATATATTTATATATATATTTGAGCACACAGTTTTTTATTTGTAAATAAATATAGCAGTTACACATATAGCTTTAAAGGAGTCGATTCAGGAATCAAGCCTTTAGGTTGGTATTTGACAACTTTTCTTTTTTTTTTTTTATTAATGAGAGAAAGTATATTTATTATTTTATTAATTCTGTAAGTTTTTTCTTAATGTGGGACAAATTAAATTTGCCTAGCATTTGTAAAGGGAATAGGTTGCGAGTACATTTGAATAAATATATATATATATTATAATATATGTGTAACAGCGATTTGTGTATAAAAATTTTGTAGCTGCCAAATTGTATAATCATTGATAAATTAATATAAGACAATAGACAATATACTTTTTCGGTTATGATGAATACACGCATACATTAAGGCGACTTAAATGGTTAAAGGATTCGCATTTGTTGCTAATTAGCCAAGGCCATGATCGTCAAAGAAACTTTGTGGTGTTTCGTCCTGTAAAATGGAAATGCGTTCTTCATTATGTATACTCGATACTTCACTTGTTGTGAATTACCAATTAAAAAAAAATTAAAATAAAATGATCTAAAAATGCTACAACAATATAAAAGTGTTTAATTTTGCAAAGAATATATAAATTTAAACCAACAATACAAATAAGCTAAGGGACGATTTAGAAACAGGTTGAAATTTATCGATAGTATTTTATCTATATTTGTTGCTTTTATTTTGTTTACAAAGCGGGATAGCGTGGAGAATGGTCTTAAGGAGAGAGAGAGAGAGAGTGGAAGAACAGCAAAGACAGCATAGTGACTCGAGCAAACAATCAAGATATTACCAAAAACATCAATCACGAGAAATAATAACCAAAGGAACTTAAGATTTAAAAACAACGATCACCGTTCAAACCTTACCTCTAAGCATATTAAGTACATTTTTATTTTTGCATACAAATACATACATACAATTTTGGTGATTTTTTTTT